TGATACAATTCAATTCAATAATGGTGAATACTTGGAGTGCTGGCCTGTTGGCATTTGATACCAGGCAGGAAAATAGATGACAACACTGCACCACCAACATTGACAGGGCGATGACATCATACGAGGGATTTCCCTAACACTACACTACCAACCCAGCCAGCCCTACAAAAAAAATAACCAATAAATAGTTAACAAATAAAAAGAAAAAAAAAGAAAGAAAGAAATCTGGACGATGGGGGAATCGAACCCCCAGCTCCCCAATGTTATTCTGCGAATGGGGTGTTTTACCACTAAACTAAACGCCCGGCATTTGCACTTTGGTCCCGCACAACCGCTACTCCAACCGCGGGCGTGGGATGGCTTGGCATAGAAAGTCAATTATATAAGCACAGCCTCCTCCAACATCAAAAAAAAAGACGAACGACGAACGACGAACGACAACGTCGACCATAGCACCAGCGGCAGCACCAGCAGCAATTGGGTCTCATCTTCGGCAGAAGAGGGTGCGTGGCTGACATAGCTCGTGCGGGAACCAAGGCAGCGTTCAAAGAGTTCTGGCTCCTTTGAGATAATTGACAGAGTTCCGCTTCAGCCGTCGATACACAGAGGCGTTCTTAGCAGCGTCAATCCGCTCGTATTCTTGTCAGGGATACGTCGTCCTCTGCACTAGTAAGTCGCTGAATCTCGTATCAATGACGATTTCCTCCATATTATTGGCAATCGTCACTCTGTTCACCAACTGGTCCATCATCTCCTGGGCTCCGAGACGAAATGGGGGAGGGGCTACGTCTCCGCAGATTGACCTGTTCTCCTCAAAGTGCCACTGCAGTTGAAGCATGGAGTAAGATAGCCTGGATCCATCTCAGAAAGTCAATAATCCATACACCAACAACTACCCGTGGGCTCGGAGTGGTTGGTTTGCTGCATGGGAAGCCAGGCCGTTTTGAACGCCTTCTCCGAGTCGTCTATTGGTAACTGTGATTTGCCAACACTCCAACTTTTTGAACCGCTCAGGGCATTCGATTCCCGTGCCTCTCGGCACCAGTTTCGGTATCAACTCAATAATCTGACAGCTTTAACCAACTCGTGGCTGGGTTAGACTCTCCGCTTAACTGGTGGAGTTGACTGCTGAAGGATCCCGTTCCACCAATGTCGATACAGAAATGCCATTGCCACCCCTGTGGCCCAACCAGCCTGTGGCCACGTTAGACCTACTTATGTATGGTTACTGGTAGCTTTATGCCTTTCCACCCAAGGAACCACTCTACTTAATTTCCCGTCTCTTCACTTTGTTTCTCCTCTTCCAGTCCCTTACCGTCAACCACGCATGGGTTTGGAATGGACTACTAAGTAAAGTTGAATTACCGGGGTGGAGATACATTGAGAAAGGTACATACTTACTCCGTACATCTTGCACTTGTACTTCACACCAGGATCGTCTCCGCATTGTTGGTGGAGATTCCCCTCGTCGATCTCAACGGTTGCCGGCCAGATGGATTGCATGGGTACCTACATTTTGCATTGAATGACATACTGGTAATCTCGAGGACACCCCTGTTATCCTACGCACCTTTGGTGCGCATGACCACCGTCATGACCGGCCATCAAAAATTGCGAAACGACAAATCATAGCCTTCTTGAATTCGTGCATACTCAGTAATAAGGCCCTTGGACGCCGAATGATATACAGTTCATCCCTTCTTTTACTCAAGCTGATTCGCACCGGTATGGGGTATTTCTTGAAATGCCATTATATCCCGCGTGAGGCTCGCATGCTGTGAATATTGTGGCTTACCTGAGTTCCATTCGAAGCCACGTTGAATTAGCACTCGTGTTCGCCTATTATGGGCGAATTATATCCTGTGCAACAAGGTTCCTTTTCATTGAGCAATTGCCGTTGAAGATCAGTTTATCCGTACGGAGTAGAAAATACCCAAAGGGAAGCAAGCACACTGGCTACATGTGTGAATCCAGTATCTCGATATGTTTCTTCTCAGTGAAACGAACCAATGTACTCCGTATGTGAATCAATTTACAGAGCCAATTACACCATTTGACAGGGCTTAAACGGGAGGCGGAGTCGTGCCTCATGCCTGAAAGGACTAACCAGGACTTGCATTTCATGAATAAAAATGAATCTCCAGGGATGGAGTATGGCCTACATGCCTGATATGTAACTTGCATCCAATTTTCTATGGAATCTATTTCGTACTTTGCTCTGGAACATTCTCGCACTGCGAATCCTTCTCACTAAAACATGTCAATGATGAATTTATCCCTCTCTACAGAGCATAGATCCAACGAATATGCAGGAGAGGGTGTGCTATGTTATTTCCTCCTTATAGGGTTCGAAGGTCAAATAGGAAGATCTCTCGGAAGATCCTGGCGTGAAATGGCAGGAAGAATATCCTCCCACTGGCCATATTCTCATCCATTTGTCATATTAGTGGTCTGGGAAACTTCACAAGCCTCATGTCAATACACGGCAAGATATGAAGTTTAATAAATCAACCACATCACGGAGTACAAGAAGGCCGAAACCATACATCGGTCTGATTTCTCGGATGCTTCGGACCTTCCGCTACTACGTAGGTACGGTACGGAGTAGCCCTTTGACAAAGGAGAAGTTGCCAATCCCATAACTTTACTGTGCATGATAAGCCCAGCCCAGTTGCCAATTCCCCTCTCCTTTGGGAGGTATGGGAAAGCCACCATTTGCTGCGCTGAAAGCAACTTTGAACACACTGCGATTTATTCCAGACGCAGGTCATGATTCTGCACTAGCGAGACAGATATATGCCCTTGGAATACACAGCCTAGGAGAGGATGTTCGCAGGCTTCTACCAGCGTATTGTCATCCTTGATACCTTTTTCTTGCCTTGTTACAAGGCAAAATGTCAAAGAATCCTTGCTCATCCCGGGTATGATGGAGAAATTTGCTTCGGCTCGTGAACGTGCATATACCACACACCACCACAACCCTCCCATGTAAACCCCCACGGTGATGTTTCGTCATCAATGCGGTTCACTGCGCGCTTTCTCGAGACTTACGCTTCACAAATGTGGCTGCCACCAGCCTCAGAACCAATTAATACCCAGAACCGTCAAAGTGACAAGCAGCTGGGTTTGACTTGACACGAAAGTCATCCCATTAAAAGGGGTAACAGAGGGAAAAAGCAATGATCACCAGCCGGGATAAAAAGCCACTGCTGGGTGGTCGAAGGCACAGATAACCTTTGCTCGGAGAAGATCACCGCCGATTCGCCTTCAGCAAAAGGTGCTCCTTTCCTCTTTTGGGGGGGTATACGAGCCAATATCAGCAAAGCTCCCAAGCTAGAATGGAATGGAACCTCTTCATCCCTTTTAACTATAAAGATTACTAGCCACTTGACCACGTTGCACGATCCACGTTAAAGGATCGTATCGTGAGCATCCGGACTGGTTCCTAAAGCATCTACTTGTCTTCATCAGGCTGTTGACGCCCTGCTGGCTCTAAGGTGAGCCCGGTTGTCTCAGTAATTGCTAGCACATATTCGAGGCTCGCTTGATCCCAGAGCTTGCATGGGGAAGCCTATTATTAGGTTCGCAGGCCAGGCTCGCTCCCTCTGGTCTCAACCCTGGCAGCCGACTAGCTCGACCGGGGTAATTCAGCCGGCGCTATCATCCCGAGAATCAAGTTCAAAGAGGTCATAGCCTGAGCCTTCGCTCAACCGGCCTCGACCCTGGACTTTGGCTCATTCCTCACGCCAGTGCTGCCACCTCCGGAGTATGGCTTCGCCGTTGGTGGTGGCGCTTCCAGGGTTCCCGGCTCTCACTGACTAGTTAACTAACAAGTAACTTCATACGATATGTTTCATCTGTCTGAAAGTAGACAGTCTGTACGCCAAAAAGGAGAACAGAAAAAAAAACTAATATTCTATTACCCTTCTTTTCTCCGGAGTAACAGTTGAGGTGGCAAGGATGGAATTTTATAGGAATTGTGTGTGATTATTTTTCGAGGTTCTGCCCAAAGACGCCCCCAGCATCCAGGGAGCTCTCTGAAAACATTATGATACCATCAATATCGGGATGTTCACGCTCTGTGATAGCTTGCGAACTAGCCCTACACATTACAGGTAGTCCAAGACATGGTCTCGATGCGCCTTTCCATGAAAAACATTGCTAAAGATGGATATCCATGCCACCCTTGCTAGCAGCGTTTCCATGGGTTAGCTATTTTGAACACGAAAAGACGAGGCCTGTGTGTTCCTGGCAGTACTAGGTACAAGACACCTTGAGCCACCCATGCATTTGCCGCATCCTATGGTTCAAGCCTGCATTAGTTAAAGCTGTGTGATCCAAATCAGACTTCCGCTTTGAATTTTGTTTCCCTCACTGCACTTGATTTTTCCGAGGAGGCTTTCTCTTATGATTCTCAGTTTGTGAAAAAGGATTCTGAACTGCACTATAAAGACAGACCGGGCTTGAAAAAGCACTTCTCAGGTCGACTCTGGTGTTCCTGCGGCTGGTATTAATAGACGGAACGGAGTACGGCGTGCTTGTCAGCTTATCCCCTTCCTCTTCCTGGAACCGAGAGGACTGGACAAAATATAGAATAACAAATTCCCAGGCCTGCGACCGATGCATGTTTGAGGCGCAAAGTCTTGTTTATTCGTTATTATCAAAAAGAGATAACTTGGGCCTTCCTCGCACTTGATTTTTCTACCTGTGTAGAATGACAGCACATTGATACCCGGGCCATTTTGATTTATATATTCAGTTGAAAGGGTTTATATGATATTCAACCGCTGAACAGTCGAGATGGGGAAAGTATTTGCAAACGAACCTCTCGACAGGAACCAACGGCCGGTCGCACTGACCCATATACCCAGGATCCCCCTTCTTGTGCGTAGATCTCATGATACTCTGATTGATCATCTGAACCGAGGATGCATTTTTGCTAACAGTGCAACTTTCTTTAGATAATACTCTGGTCTTTTTTTGCACTCACGACGGTTGTTATGATATTTCGGCTAGCCATCAGATTATGGCTCCAACGACGGCTATTTTGGGATGATGCCTTTGCAATAGCTGGCTACTTTGGACAGGTAGCCCAACTAGTGATGGTCACGATTGTATCACCATTGATATATATCCATCTCCAGGGGTTTTCTGGCACTCGCCCACCACCAGAGTATGGAATAAAAATCACCAAAATGATCCGGCTGGTATACGCACATAATGTAGTATTTACTGCAAGTTTATACTGCATCAAGGCAAGTTTCATGGCACTCTACTGGAGGCTGATCCGGGATTTGAGCGACTATCGGAAAGCCTGGTGGGCAGTGGCAGTGCTTTGCGCTGTATCTCTGACTATAAATGCGGTTTTGTTCCCCGTGGGGTGTTCGACCTTGGAGGCATGTAAGTGGGCAATTAGTATGGCCATTATATCTCCATTTGCGGTGCTAACGAGGTGGCCTATAATAGTCCATTGTATTGACAAGGGAAGCATCGACCGCACCCTGGTAAGCCTGCGGTTTAACACAGCAATGGACATTGTGACAGACGTGTGCAGTAAGTCCAATCGCATGACCCAAGCGAGTGGTATCCTTGGGAGTAACAGAAAAAGCCCTGTTACTAACTGCTAGTTACAGTTATGGTCCTTCCGATCGTCCTAATCGTGCGGTCCAATCTACCAGGCCCGGAGAAAGCAGGCTTGGTCGTCCTCTTTGCTTTGGGTTTCAGTATCATCGCCATCTCGGTAGTCCGCATTATCAAGAGCAATGGCTATCAGAGCCAGCCGCCGCTCTCCTGGCTCTTGTTCTGGAGCACAATGGAAACAGCCGTGGCGGTGATAACGTGTTGTCTGGCAACGTTCAAATCGCTGTTCAACCTGAAACAGCGACCCACCCATTATTCATACTACACCAAGACGCGAACATCTCGGCGTCGACGACGAACTCGAACCGCCCAGAACATGGACAACATGAACCTCACGCTGCCGACGATCTCGGATCTCGAAGCATCCACAGACAGCCAGCGGACAGGTAACGAGCGGAAGGAGCCGAGTATGATGACTATTTCGTCCGATAGGAAGACGACCAGGTCTCACGACGCCGAGCTCAAGGAGGAGATCATGATTGGGGCTTCCATTGACAGGGCGACTGGCAGCATTCCTGGACCCCATCGCAGCGATTGTGATCGTCGGCCCCAAGCGCCCAGCATGGCACAGTTGCGATAGATCCTTGCGTGTCTACGCTGGGCTCTTGCTCGGCATGCGAGTCGCGTTGGTCGCTGTGCATGGTTGCGAGCATGGAGTACACATGGTGGTCTATGAATCGTCAATGTAATGATATATCTTCTCGTTCCTTGTTTAATTTTTTCTTTCTCTTTCCCTCTTGAGGTTCCTGCTGTGTTATTCCGTGGGATGGATGGATGGATGATGCCTTTGCAGCCGGCCTCACCGTCACCGGCGACGACTGGCCAAACGAATACCTAACTGATATAGCCAGCCAGGCGCTGACAAAAACTCGATATCCCAACAAGCACGCTGCAACAATTAACCAACCGACCGGGTTACTACTCTGTACTTATAATAATATTCCAAAACGATATCCACATCCAACAGCTTGACTAATTTGCTCACAGATTACACAGCGAAAAAGTTAGAGGCGCTTGTGGCGGTGTCGCTGTATCAGCCAGTCTCCAGTCTTCTGAGGCCTCCAGCTTCTCCACGCCGTGTACGCTGCGTCAAGTCACAGCCTAAATATAGTGCCTGGGCGGAGACACCTTGCATCGTACCCCCCAGCAGCCATCGTCCTGGCACGCCTTAGCCGGGCTGCCATGCCTTGGTGTGCCCTATCAAACGACGAGGCTGGAGGGTCGCTTGGGGGGCGGCGGAGGATCGAACTTTGTCAGGGGGCAATCGCTCTTGCAGGCTCAGCCGCAGTCTGGCTCTTCTTCCTCGTCTTCGTCTTCGTCTTGGTTTTTCCTGCGTATTTCACTCGTCTTCTCTTTCTCTCTTGCTCATGTTCTCGTCTTCCCTGTGAATTGTTATAAAAGCCGCCGTTGTCACTGTTGATCGTCGGCGCCTCCTTATATATATATATATATCTATGTATGTACATTCATGTACGCGCGCCACTCTCTCCTTTTGGTACACTTATAAAGTCATACACCAACTGACTCGCCGGATCAGGTTTTCGTTTTTGAATATTATTAAAAAGGAAATATTGCTGTGTGACAAAGAGCAAGGAGCAAAAAAGAAAAGAGAACAAAAGTGATTTGCATGGTTTCTTTGGTTGTCGTATAAAGAAGAGAAAAGCCGCCGTATTTCTGTGGCTGCCGACTTCTTCGCATACAAACCACCTTTACAGCCTCTCCCTTTTTTTTTTTTCCTTTATATATTCCATTTCAAGATGCGTGGCGACTCCTTTATCTGGTCGCTGGCGACGGCGATTCCATTGCTGTCCACTGCCGTCGAGTCCCTGAAAGTTGTCAAGCGAGATAACCCATCGGTTCTCGGATTTGATATCGAGCGCTTCCAGGCTGCAAAGCCCGTCCACAGAGATATTATCGCCAAAAGAGCCTCGACCAAGACCATCAGCCAGGATCTTGATAACCAGGTGAGTGCTGGAGTTGTGTTTGCTCCTACTACTAGGACGTGGCGCTGACAGCTATAGAAAAATCTATATTTCTGCAACCTCACTCTCGGAACGCCTCCTCAGACAATCCGAGCCCACATCGACACAGGCAGCAGCGATTTATGGGTTAACACTGCGGAATCCCGGTTCTGCAGCTCGAGGCGTGCGCCATGCAGTCAGGGCGGAACATACGACTCCTCCAGCTCTAGCACCTACCAGCTCGTCAACAACGACTTTAACATCTCGTACGTCGACGGATCGGGCGCCACTGGTGACTATGTTACCGATGTCATAAACGTCGGAGGTATCAAATTGAAGGACTTCCAGTTTGCCATTGGACACACCTCGTCCAGTCCTCGTAAGTTGATGTTATCTTTATCACGAGGGAACCATACAATGCTAATACCCTCCTAGTCGGTGTTTTGGGAATTGGGTATGAGGCTGGTGAAGCCCAGGTTACCAGGTCTGGTGATCAGTCATATCCCAACCTTCCTGCTGCCCTCGTCAAGGCCGGCCACATCCGCTCTAATGCCTACTCGCTCTGGCTCAATGACCTGAGTGCCAGCCGTGGCCAGATACTTTTCGGTGGTATCGACACTGGCAAGTTCCAGGGCAAGTTGCAGACCGTCCCAGTCCTCCATACCAGCAGGGGTGATTATACTTCCCTGGTTGTAGCCCTGACCGGTGTTGGTATCCGGACTGGCTCTGACGGCAGTATCGACACATTCCCATCCCAGCCAGTCGCCGTCGCCATGGACTCTGGCAGCAGTTTGAGCTATCTTCCTGATGCCCTTGCAGCAAAGGTCTATAACTCTGTCGATGCTGTATTTGATCCGGCTAACAACCTTGCCTTCGTCCCTTGCTCCATGGCCAATGACAAAAGAAAGCTCGTTTTCACCTTCTCGTCCCCACAGATCGCCGTTGGTATGGACGAGCTAGTGATTGATCTTGGGCCGGACGCCAATGGCAACGAGGCTACCTTCAGAGACGGCTCAAAGGCCTGCGTCTTCGGCATTGCTCCTGCCGGAAGCTCTATCTCCATCCTTGGAGATACTGTGCTACGCAGCGCCTATCTTGTCTATGATCTCGACAACAACGAAATCTCCATTGCTCCAACTCGGTTCAATTCCACTGAAACAAATATTATGGAAATTGGAACAGGCGAAAACAGCGTACCTGACGCTACCGGCGTGCCAAATGCTGTCACAAGCGCCCAGGTTACCCAGGCTACTGGTCTTCCCGGAGTTGAGACTGGTGTCCCTGGCTCAAGACCGCCTAGCTCCAAGGCCGCAGGTCAAGCAAAGAGACCTGATTTCGTCCTCGGCGTTGCTGCCGTTGGACTGGCAGGTGCTGGCATGCTCTTTGCTGCCATGTAATATCCCTCATGCCCGCCAGCTTTGGGTCTTAGAAATTTTTTATTTGGCTCATTTTCTGCATATTGATATCCCTCGTGCCTAGGTGACTAGAGCTTTGTTGTATAGTTTTTCCCTTCCACTTTCGTGTTTCATATCTTCTTCTCTGCATAGAGCAGGGTTGTTTCATGACCTCCACGCACATATCCCCATTTCTATTTTCCTGCTGCTTTTACCTTTCTTCAACGTCCTTGCATATATAACCTTGCTCTGTTGCTCGGCGTCAGGTTGGCCTGACTTGTTGATAATTGGTATCATAAGGATAGCCCAAAATTACGTACATAATCAACCTCATTATTTCTCTCTTGTGTGCACTAGAACAGCTCTGCAGCACCTACGTCTGCAGAACAATCTTTTCGCGAGACACCAGATGGTTGTACTGTTGCATATTTTGAATGTCATCCCGGGGACGAAGGGTCATCCCGCGCAGAGGGCTATTTGGAGATATTTCAGGGCCTGATGGAATGTTTATATCCACCGATCTTATATAACACTCTTGGTCATTATTTCGGCCAGTACGGAGTACGGGGTATCTAGTTCGATATCGTGGTCGCTGTTTCCTTCTATACTTTAAGCCACAGTAGCACCGCATAGGGTGTTTCGCCAGATACATTTCACACTTTGACCAAGGCTTTCCCGGGTTATCATTGCTCAAAGCTGACGCCGCAATTTCTTTTCTTTTTTTTTTTAATCTTATCTCCTTCTCCTTGTGAGGCTCATAAGACAGAGCCTCAGTTTCGTTTGGTGGGAGCGGTACGTATTTGATCGTTGACGGGAATATGACCCTTCAAAGTACTCCGTAAAATGCACGCAAATGCCTCAGTATAGAGAGCCCCATCTCTCCGTTTTTTCCTTTTATGTCAAGATTGTTTCCAATCCAACATTAAAACTCCTGATCAGCATCTCGAAAGCACAACCGCTCGAGCCCCTTGATCAGGCTTGGCTGTGACATCCAAAGTTGCTGATTCTTCCTGATCGTCAAAAGAAACATGCTCAGTAGTTTCGTGTAAGTGAGCGTCCCAGTCACAACGCCAGATCTCCGTCTTCACGTTTCTCTGAGAGCTCCAGGATGAATTTTGCCTTGTATCATCAGCCATGGCAGCCACTCTTCGGGCCTGAGCTAGATCACCGCATTCTAAAACGGTGAAACGGGCTTCAAGCTTTGCTGAGGCAGCTAATAGATGAGGGTAGAAGGAATCAGCCCTGGCCGAGTCTGACGCTATCCCCGGATGCTGAATTGCCGGAGGTACCAATGCCAATGTAGGCTCATACAAACGTACACTACGTCTGGTCGTTCCATTTGTAAAATCCCTGGGTGATATGTATGGAGGGTTTGATATCAGTAGATCCAATCCTTTGCTGTGACCCCCCTGATTTGATCGAGAGAGCATCTCGCCTAACTCTGAGCCATCTGATTCCAGATAACAAGGGTCTAGGATATCAGCATGCACGAAGTGGATTTCGTCTCGTGCGCGGGAGAGTAAGGTTCCATTTCCAATGTTATATTCGAGGTTCTTCTTTGCAAGAGAGAGAGCCGTAGCACTGATATCAACCCCAATGATCGAAATGGTCGGAATCGAGGGCGCAAGAAGAGAGTGAAGCAGCAGCGGTATGCAGCCTGTGCCAGTGCATATGTCGATAATTCGAATGCTTCTCGTAGGGTTAAGACGGTTCTCAGTCAGCAGTCGCTGTGCTATACGCGTGGTATAGGACTCCGTATCTGGACTATTAATAGGAATTCAACAGTGTCAGCGCCATCTTAGGATAATGTCAACAGAAATGAAATCTGAGAGTGTTCATCTAACCGTGGAATCAGCACTCCTTCTCTGCAGAGTATTGTCAAGTCTCCAAACGGCTGGTCCCCAAGGATATACTGCAGAGGCTTCCCAGCTGCTCTCTGCCGGACGAGCAGCTGCAACCTCTGCTTCCACCTCCAGCTTTCGCGACCTGTATCCCTACTCCGGGCATACTCAGTGAGCCAGCGAAGCTCGTTCCGTGCAGAGCAAAGATCTCGGCATTCTCGAAGCAGCGGCGGCAGCAGAGGATCGATGCGGTGCGCGCGCAGGAAAAGCGAGTAGGGGATCCGTGGCATCGATCGACGGGATAGCTAGCTAGCAAAGGGTCTTCATTCTGGTCTATTTAGTATTATAATTGCAGATTTTGAGCCATCAATAATGGATATGATGATGCTTCGGCCATTCATCTGATTATTATTATTTTGATCCGACTGTCAAGATACCAAAATGTATTCGGCATTCATTCCTTAACTAACTAGCGCCGCGGGAGCGAGCCCCTGGCCTGGCAGAAGCAATTATGCCTAGCTGACTGCTGTAGCTAGTCAACCACTATCCAAACATCCAGAGAGCAAGAAATCACAGTTGACAACAAATGACCCTTGGATGAACGGTCTGTCATGAACGGCTCTATGCATTAGCCGTCCCGTTCTTCCCCTTTTCTGAATGGTGCCAGATATAGTGCCACTATACATGCGGTGATACGCCCTGTCACAGCGCCGTCGGGGATGAAATACGGTGTCACTCTATACCCGCGCCGCCTATGAGCGACGGCCTCACACTTCGCAATGCAGCTGGATCTAAGGCGGGCTACCTGCTCGCAGGGCGGGTCGGCTATTGTTTGGGATAGGGAGTTGTCGGCTGCATTTCCATCCAACCCGTCCTGTAGCCTCCCGGGCTTCTTCGTCCTTCTTAAAAGACCGCCATCGCCAGTCAGCGGCTGCTTACACCCATCTCACTCGCTGTTGTTTGATATCCCCCATTCACACGCCATCACAGTGAAAATCCCGAGGCTACACGGCGATCTCTGTACTTCTTATGCGTACAGGAGGAATTATAATGCCCCTGTCGGCCCCGAGTTTGTGAATTTACCAGCATCATCACATCTTTGCCAGTCGTGGCCATAGGTTTTCGATGGATGGCCAGTTATCTATCAAGCCGAATGACAGCGTCATGCTCCTTTCAGTGATGTGGTCTGAGTTCAGCGTTGCAGCAGTTATTCTGACAGCTCGAATCTTCACTCGTACTGTGGTTATTTCAAGTTGGGGATGGGATGATATGAGCATGTGCCTTTCGATGGTATTCTTCCTCTGCTTGGCGGGAGAGCGAAAGAGAAAGAGAGAAAGGGGTGGAAGCGAGTAGAACAGCTGATATTAACCATTTTCTAGGTACTGGCCATTATGGATACGTCCCTACTGACAGCCAGTGTCCGTCATGGCCTGGGAAAGCATGCCACGAGTCTCACAGAAGCCGAGTACATCAATGCAAATAAATACAATTGGATATCGCAGGGCTGCCATGTTATGTCAACGAACTTTGGTAAAGTGTCCGTCATATTGTTCCTGTTACGGATTGTCGTGAATTCTCGGCCACAGAGGGTATTTCTATACACGGTTATGGCCATGTTAATGGTCATCAATTCCGTTTGCGTCTTTACAATCTTTGGCCAGTGTACACCGACTTCGCGACTGTGGGATCAGGATATACCAGGATATTGTTGGCCACCACACTACCAAAGGGATTATGCATTCTTTCAGGGCTGTATGTATATTCACCCCTTCAAGCATCCCCTGCCTGAGAAAATACACTAGTCGACTGATTGACATGTGTGCAGCCTTTTCAGCTTTCTCGGATGGCCTCCTCGCCATATATCCTATCTTCATCATATGGAAATTGCAGATGTCAAGGAGAACTAAAATCTGCCTTGGGTGTGTTTTGGCTCTGGGAATAGTGTAAGTCTTTGTCTATATCTAAAGCAAACAAAACCTGTAGCCATATTCCACTACTAACAAGCAACAAGGGCAATGATCGCGGCTATAATTAAGACCATATTCCTCGCTAGTCTAACAGCCCGAAGTGACTATACCTATGACACTATCTCCCTGACCATCTGGACGAATACAGAACAATATTTGATCGTAATAGAGGCCTGTATACCTCCGCTTGGTCCGCTTCTGAAGATTGCCATGGGGAAAACCCCTACTGCGCAGCAGTCTAGTTCCAACAAATATGCATCCAAACACTACTCAGGGGAGCAGCAAATTAAGCACCCTGTGTTCATACCGAAGGATTCGTTGCTATCTACTAACGAGTCAAGTTGTTATCCCCTACGGGAGTATAAGGGACGGTCACGGATATGGGGAGATGGTAGTGAAGGCGTGGTGGACCTTGATTTTCGTGAAGCTCGAGCATCACAACTTAGTGGCATCATGAAAACCACGGAGGTGCATATTGAGAGTAACAAGGATCCAGCGGAATAAAACGATTTCAGTCAAGCTGCCTATATGCCGTTTGCGGTGCTATGGCAGAGCTATCATCACAGCCTTGATGGATATTCTGAATACTTGAAGCAGTATGGTTTCAGCGCTAGGTTTGTTCCTCTCAGCACAGTTGGCAGTGCCAATTTTTGCACAAGTGCCCATAGTATATCCGAGGAAAATAGAGTCAAGGAAAAGACAAACGTATTGTATATTGTACGGAGTAGCTAGAAAAAGATACTTGAAACTGCAGAAGAAAATGTCGAGCCTCTCAGACAGGGTCCACGGACTGCCTCGCCAAACGCGGAGAGAGCTCTCTATCCCTGTCTATAAGTCGGTGGTCTATATCAAACTAATTCAACTACCCAGTTCCCAGCAATCAAGTTAAGCGTGGGGCGAGTCTTGCTTTGCTTTTTCTTTCTCATCTCAGGAGAAATTGAATGAATCATAAAAGTGCATGTGCAATTGTAACGTGTAAACATGACAACCTCCATTCATCTATAAGGTGTTGACACTAGCCGCCGGCCCACCCCCAAAATTATATACATATACACAATAATTTGCTATAGACAGGTAAGTGTAGAATGGAAGAAGAAAAGAAACAAGCAAAAACTTTTAGTCATTAGAGAGTCTTAAAGTTGACCGGACCGGCCCAGTGCCTGATTCTCTTGCCGAAAAATTGGAATATCAATAGCATCACGAAGGCGAAGCCACAGATGCCTGTCATGGCACCAAACTGACGAATAGGCCCTTGGTCTCCGGCCCAGCGAACCATGAAGTAGCTTACGATGAAACCAGCCGTGGAACGGGAGAAGTTGAGCCAGGCAGCGACCTCACCGCTGGCTTCTGGGTAGCTGTCTAGAACGTATGCGCTGGTTGCGACGGTGGTAATCATAATGCCGAAGACGTAGAGACCCCAGCCCAAAGAGGCGAGCATGTAGTGATATTCACGCTCGAGGGCAAAGCCAAGCAGGATGAGACCAGCGCAGATGCAGGGTGTGCTTATCCAGGTAACGAGGTATCGGGCTTCTGGCTCAAATCGGCCTTGATTGCGGGAGGCGGCGAGGCTAGCCACGCGGTCGTGTAACCAGTGGCCGACGATCTCACCTAAAATAGCAGCAACGACGGGGGTGAAATAGAAAAATCCGATTTGTTTGGGGCCAAAGTTGTAGACGGGTACGAGGAAGATGGCAAGAGTGGTGTTGATGCCGACGACCCAGGCGAAGGTGAGCAGGTAGACGATGCAGGAGATTAACATGGCTGGTTTCGCAATAACGATGAAGGGTCGCATAAATGCATCCTTGAAGCTGTTGCGCTGGTGACGGGACTGCCATTGTTCAGTGCCAATGAGGCGTTTCCAGCGGGAGACCCGGACTGGCCGTTGGTCTACAGGAAGCTTCCTGTCATAGTAGGTCTCGTCCATGAAGAGAACGATAGCGATGAAGCAGAGGCCAGTCTCGATGGAGTAGACGCCGAATGCCCACTGCCATATTTGGGTGTTGATGATAAAAGCTGTGAGCAAGGGGCCGAGATAGGGTGAGACTATAATAAAGCTGGACCAGACGTTGATCTTCCTGGCGTGTTCGTGGAAGAAGAAGATGTCGTTTATGAACATGAGGCCACCCTGTTTTGTTAGCCGGATACATGCATTGATATATATACATCGGAGAGTCACTTACCCCCTGTGCGACGGTAGAGAAGAAACCATTGAGAATGCGCGCAGCCTGACAATTAGATCAGTATACATGTAATCGAACGAGTCCATGTATTGGAAGGGAACCGTACCATGAAAGACTCGAATGACTGGGCAGCGGTGCACCAGACGGCGGTAGCGACGGCACCGACCATGAACCAGAAGAGTACCGGAAGACGACCGAAGTAGGCCGAGCAAATGACAGTGACGATACCTCCAACTCCAAGCATAAAGACATTGCCAGCCTGAGAGTGGTTGACCTCGTCCGGTGTCATATGCCATATTCTATTACCGTCAGCAAGTATAGGATTGAAGAGCATATGGGGGTGACATACTCGGCCTGCGGGAGGAGGGTGACAGCGCCAACAGCAGAGCCATAATCGGGCAAGAAGGCCGCGAAGGAGATGATGAGAAGGACTATCCACTTCTTCGCCGAGGACCAGTTTAAAGGGTCGTCTGTAGAATCTGAGGGCTGGGGGACGAGAATTGTATGGCCGTCTGGCGCAGTCTTGAGGCCGGCAGCAGTGCCTGGGCGGGCGACAGCGACATCAAGGATGACACCGTCACTGCTGTCCCCGTCTCGCACACCCGCCTCGATGTCAACAACGACGTTCTCCTTGGACATGGCAGCGGCAGGCAGTCGGACAGCAGAAGTATCGGCATCAATGGGTCAAGGAGAAGACGAGGAACAGAAACTCATTGGGGGGGACTGGAGAGAAAAATGAGGAGAAACGAGAGGAAGAGCGAGTGCGCCGTTGGCGGTTTATCTTAATTATTATTATGCACTTATTAATTATAACATCAACCAGGAAGAATTGAGAGGCATCCCTGCGCCTGTACGCCGTCCTGGCTGCAAGCTTGCCCAGGTCGAGAGCTCCATCCAAGACGGCTCTGGTCGAGTTCGATACGAGTGCGTTCCCACTCCGGACGGGTTGATCCGCTCTTCTCGCAGGCCAATAAAGGCCGCTATGAAGGTGGACATCGCGCGGGCGGGCAGAAGAGGCGACCAAGTCCGTTGTTTCATCGTATCTGCAGGCATCTTGCATCTCCTCGTCTGCGGGAAGGGATGTGCATTTCCTTGGATGTTTTGGCCTTGTCGGTCCCTCCATGTGGTGGCGTCTTCGAGAACATCTATTAATAGGCGCGCGCTCTTTGCTTCTTCTGTGTCGTCTCTCCTTTCTCTCTCTTCCTCTTTATTTCTCTCTCTCTTTGTGCTTTTTCCTTTTCTCTTCTTTTCTATCTCCCCCCACCCCCTTTAACCCTTCTCCAGCAGCTACTCCGTAAACAATGACGAGACCTTTTTTTATATAACGACAAACACTTGGGATTATGTCAGCAATGCACGTGTAACTCAATCAAGTAGGTCACATGACCAAATAAAGTTAAAGTTTTAAGGTTCTTTTGACTTCAAGTTGAAGTGTTATTATCAATATCATTATCAGTATCAGTATCATTATTCATGACTGCAGTGTTGACTGCATGTTAGCTGCAGATATATATTTCAACTGTATATGTCCTTCGCTGAATAGCAGGCCTGTTTTGTGTCCATTATGTCCATTCCCACGAGGGAACAGTTCTGTTCTAGAAAAACTGTGGATCTCGGAGTATGCCGATTAATTCAAAACGCAGACACGAACTGGAGGGGTTTGTGTGTCAAGCTCTCAAAATAATAAAATAATCTGAATCGGAGCTACGGAGAATATCATCCCATAGAGTTGCTCCAGAAAATCTGGAGTTCCACGCTCCCGTCTCCGCCCAAGAAAAAAGGGTTCGGTCAGGCTAGGGCCGTCTGGCTTTTGTCGTCCAGACCTACATAATGCAAACTCAACCCCCACAGCTCCTGTTGCCTTTTCTCGTCTTTTGCCTCTACAGCCGCTTCAGCTTGCTCACTCCCGTTAAAGTATGCTTCTGTGGGATGTGCCCAGGAGTGCTTGGGTTCCAGCGCCGCAGACAGCAGGTCTTGTGCGGACTTCTCGGCGGTGCGGAAGAGCCCGTTCGGCCACAGGTGCTGAGCTAGCCATCGGGTGTACAGCTGCATCAACGGGAATGTGAAGTTTCGGTTTGTCCATGAAGCCCTCTGCACTATGTTGTCGTGTAGCACTGCGCCGGGGTCGACACCCGCGATGCTTATATTGTTGAGGTCTGGAGTTTTATCTAGACGTTTCCTCAAGGCATGCCTGGGGGGATCGTATACGTTAGAACCCAGTGATACCCATATTTGGCTTTCTTGACTCGCATGTTGAAAAAAAACGGAGCGGGTGGGTTGAAACTCAAACTCACATAAAAGTAACCAGGGCTAGTTTTGAGGCGCCGTATCGCCGCATAGACTCCATAGCTGCATCTTTGTCGAGGTTGTGCATGTTTGGATGTGCCAATTCAGCTACGTCCCACTTGAGCTTGTCTGGCTTGTAATACTCGTTCTCTGGGCGACGGGAATCATGTGTGCAGCTGGATGTATAGACGATACGGCCGTGCTGTTTGTCCATGGACTGGAGGAGCCGGAGTGAAAGGAGGACATTGGCAAGAAAGTTGACAGCGAAATTCATCTCGAAGGGCGGGTGCTGCTTCTCTCCCGTTTGGTCTGTGAGCCGGATACCGCTTAAATCGTAGCACAGAGCTGCGTTCAAGACCAGCGCACGAATAGGGGGTATCGTGCCGGCCGACACTGTTCTATTGATACCCGAGACGAAGGCACGGACGTCATCGAACCGGGCAAGATTAACTTCCGGTATGCTCGCTACGTGGTTTCTTTTGCCATGAGAACTGATAATCCGCTGCAGATCGGCTGCCTGGGTCGTTTTCTGGTAGAGGCCCGGGAAGATGAGTGTGTAGGACCCAGGGCGCCGCAGGAGCTTCTTTACTAGCTCCTTTCCCAGGCCGCCGGTTGCACCGGTGAGGATGATAGTGCCATCCATCGTTCTGAGAAATTATGATGAATTGTGTGTTTACATATAGATATATATATATATATATATATAGAGAGAGAGAGAGAGAGAGAGAGAGGAGGGAGGGATATATGGGTACCCAACGGCGGGGTCTGTATCATTCGACTGATACCGTGGTAGCCCATTTCCCCCTTAGACGGGAACAAGGCCTAGAACAATCAACCTGTTTTTGACTGCAGTCTGTTCATGTGCGAATATCTATAGCATCTACTCTGACAGAGGGCACCGCAGAGCTCGGCTGAGGGTGAGCAGCAAGGTTTCCACGGCTGAATGGGTTGAGGATGCACCGGGTCTGCGGCCAACCCAGGCCACACCAACTTGAAGCGATGAAGACATTGCTCGTGCAGTAGGAAGCCCTTGAGCCCGCCGTTCATCTCTGTACAGCTGCTCTCTAGCAACTCTTGCAGTCAGGGGAGATATCCATGGATAGATACAGATCAGTATGGCAGTCTTGTAGTGCTGAACAGCAGAGCAGCCTCTATAGTAACTAGTTATCAGCAGGCAAGAGAAGACATCCTCAACCCCAGTCCAAGTCTCTCTTCTCTTCCTCGTCTTTCTCCTCGCCGTCCTTCCCGTCGACCCCCTACTCCTTCTTACTCCTTCTTACTCTCTTGCTTCCTTCAGCCTTCTAGCTTCTCTGCTGAGTAAGAGCTGCTGCAGCACTAGTAGTCTAAGGGTAAGATCTAACATTCCCAATGTTAGGACCCGGGTTCGAGTCCCGGCTGGTGCATTTTTTTTCTCTTTTTCTCTCTTTACTCTTCTCTTTTTACTCTTCTCTTTTTACTCTTATGACTATCTATATCGCCGTCTATATCGTCTATATCGTCTTTATTAACTATCGTGTCTTACTTTGCTGCTAGCGCTGCGGGTGGATGCGGTGGGCTCGCCTTTACCTCCGACTGCTCAACCACCGCCAAAGGAGTGGCCTCGAGGGCGTCATTAAAGTGGCCTCGCAGTGCTTGCTTGCGGCCTTAAGTATCTCTCGCTATGCGGTGATACGAGCCTCGCTCCGCCGCCCCTGGACGCTGCCGACGACCGTCTCTCCCAATCACGGCGGCGGCCTCGTCCATGTGTGAAGGATGATGGCAAGGCCGGCGGCAGTGCTGAGGGCGGGACTGGCTGTCGTTAAATAGGCCGCCTCTGCTCACAGAGATACAGACAGATACCAGACAAGATACCCAGATATCAAGACCACAGACAAGACAGATACCCAGAGATATAGACAAGAAAGAGACAAGATGAAGCTGAGCATCCTGTTGCTGGCCTCCGCCGTGGCCGCCGCGCCTAGCACCCACGGCCACGGCGGCTCGCGCATCGCCAACGTCGACGTCGGCGTGCGGCCAGGCTTCCTCGTCGACCTGATGCCCGCCGGCCCGCTCAAGGAGAAGCTCGCCGCCTGCGCGAGCCTGTACGAGAAGAAGCCCGGCAGGCTGCACTCCTCCGACTTCTCCATCAGCCATCGCGGCGCGCCGCTGCAGTTCCCCGAGCACACGCTGGCCGGGCTGACGGCGGCGGCTCGCATGGGCGCCGGCATCCTCGAGTGCGACGTCGCCTTCACGCGCGACCTCCAGCTCGTCTGCCGCCACTCGCAGTGCGACCTGCACACGACGACCAACATCCTCGCCGTGCCCGAGCTGGCGGCCAAGTGCAGCGTCCCCTTCAGGCCCGCGGCCGGCGGCAGGCCCGCCACGGCCAAGTGCTGCACCAGCGACATCACCCTGGCCGAGTTCAAGAGCCTCTGCGGCAAGATGGACGGCTTCAACCCCAGAGCCACCACCGTCGCCGAGTACATGGACGGCACCCCCAAGTTCCGCACCGACCTGTACGCCTCTACCTGCGGCCAGCTGCTCTCGCACAAGGAGTACATGCGCGTCGTCGACATGTACGGGCTCAAGTTCACCCCGGAGCTCAAGGCCCCCGAGGTGCCCATGCCCTTCATGGGCAAGTACTCGCAGGAGCAGTACGCCCAGCAGCTCATCGACGAGTACCGCGCTGCCCGCATCAGCCCCGACCGGGTCTTCCTCCAGTCCTTCTCCATCAACGATATCTACTTCTGGAACAGGCACGACGCCGACTACGCCCGCCAGGCCATGTTCCTCGACTCCCGCCCGGATACCCCTGAGGGCGCCCGCCAGGCCACGGCCACCATGGCCCAGCTCAAGCAGTCCGGCATCCGCACGCTCTCCCCGGCCTTCCATGCCCTGCTCAAGCTCGATGCAGGCAACAACATCGTCCCCTCGGACTACGCCGTCGCTGCAAAGAAGGCCGGCATCAAGCTCACCACCTGGTCCCTGGAGCGTTCGGGGCCCCTGAACAAGGTCAGGACCTCCGGCGACTTCTACTACTCGTCCATTGCCGCTGCCATCAAGGACGACGGCGACATCTACCGTGTCGTCGATGTCCTGGCCCAGAAGGTCGGCGTTGCCGGCATCTTCTCTGACTGGCCGGCCACCGTCTCCTTCTACGCCAACTGCTTCAACTTGTAGATCCCAACGTTTATAAACATTTATAGACGTATATAAAAATTAATGTTTTGTATATAATAATATCTATCTCTCTTTTGAAAAAAAGACCTCTATATAAAATATGTCCCGTCCATGCATGCATGCCCTTATGTACGTACTTTTTATAATATATTATCTACTTGAACAAACGAGCAATCTCCTCCTCGCTGAACCGTCTGGTCTTGGTCCTCAGCATCGCCGCCCGCTCGTCCATCGTCATGCTGATCTGCTTCTCTCCAATGGGGACCAGACATCGGGCCAGGTAGTCGTAGTCCTTCTGCAGCAGCTTCACCGTCATCATGATGTAGTCGATGTTGCGGAACACAAGTGCCTGTTCCTGCGAGTACCGCTGCCGCTGCGTCAGGAAGGCCACCGGATGCTCTCGCCAGTGCCGTCGCGGGTTCAGATGATGCGACGTATGATATCCATCATTGAAGCAGAACCGGTTACTCTGCCAGTTGTCAGTCTCGACACATTATCATCAACTTCATCCATCAGCTGTATATCTAGGGACACTCACCGGAACGTCAATCAGGGTGATGCTGGAGCGAAAGTCAGACGAAGGATCGACCTCGTCCACCAACGCATGCTGGCCCCAATTGCCCACCATCATCGCAATCCGCATCAGCAGCAGCGGCAGCAGGAAGACAAACACCGTCGCCCGCGCATCCACGCGCACAAACAGCACCGCCAGCACAGCGTACGTGCTCAGCTCCCAGCCCGCAGCCTTCGCCGCCATCCCATACTTGCCCTTCTGCGCAAAGTACAGCGGCAGCTCAATCCACACCAGAAACAAGAACCGGCCCACGTACGCCAGGAAATCACGCAGCTCGTCGCGCTGGTAGCGGATCGTCGACGACAGGTCCTCGGGCCCGTTCCCTTCGACGTGATGGTGCTTGACGTGGTGGTAGTAGTAGGAGTTCCACGTATGGCCCATCAGCGGGTTCGTGATGTAAGGGAACAGCATGTCGAACAGCCAGTACTTGCGGTTCAGGATGCCGCCCATGTGGATGTGCTGGTGCATCATCAGCGTGTACGTGCCCATGTACCACGCCTGCACCAGCAAGTGCAGCACCCCGTGCAGCCAGCTGAAGCGGTAGAAGAGCAGCACCGCGCTCGGCACGGAGGTGCTGAAGTACAGCAGCAGGTGTGTGAGCATCGCCACGTCTGTCTCGACCCGGACAAGCCGCCGCGCCCTGGCGATGTACGGCCCGATCAGCCATTGCTGCACCGCCGCCGGGAAGGGCAGCTTCTGCGTGTCCCACGAGACGAAGACGGTTGGATCGAAGTCCGCATGCGCCGGGTCGTTCAGGTTCCGCAGGTGCTCGATGGTCTTTCGCTCGTCTTCCGCGTCGTCTGCAGCTCTGTCGTCTGAAGCTCGCGAGTAGGTACCTGAAACTAGCTGGTTAGCAGCCGAAGCAGAAGCAGAATAAGAAGAAGAAGAAGAAGAAGAAATGCGACGTCTGCCCAGGTTAACTACCGTACCATTGCTTCTTCCCGTCCTCGTCCTGCGGCCGCTCACTCCATTATTATCATTGCCGGCGAGTCCGTTGCTCGTCTTCGTCTCCGTCTGCGTCTGCGTCTGCGTCTCCGACTGGCCCTCTGCGTCTCGCAGCAGGCACTTGAGCACCAGCAGGTCGGGCTGCGTCAGGTTCGGATCAACATACGACGCTGGATCCATCTTCTTGGGTGCCACGGCTCGAACTCGACCTGATCAGCAGGGGGTGGTAAGGGAGCTGGGCCGGCGAATTAATAGCTAGGTCGAGCACAGAGAGAAGAGAGAGAGAGAGAGAGAGTGACGAGGTTTTCCCACGAAGACGCAGCGTCGCGATGGATGGAGGACGGCCCCTTTTTCTTCTTTTCTTCCCCCGGGACCTTTTCAGGCAGCAGGCAGCAGCAAAAAGGGAGAATCTCCTGATTAAAACGTCATTTTTGCGCTGCTTTCTTTTCTTCCTTCTACCCAGCGGACGGGCGAGCTAGCTGGATTGGTTTTATTTGCCAGAGAACCCCCATGGATAATAATACCTGCTGCGGGCGATATTATTATTATTTGCTTCTGCTCCGCCTGCGGGTTAATGAAAGCGGATTCAGGGGGGGGGAGGGCCAATGGAGGCGGCGGTGGACATCGCTAGAGAGGCGGGCCCTGAGCGCATCAGGGGGTCGTTCCCGCTATTATTATAAGAAGAGGAAGAAGGAGAAGAAGAAGTTGTATAAGATGGAGATGGAGATGTTGTTATATTTACGTGCTGTGCTTGTACGACTTGTGTGCTCAGGGGGCAGCAATGACTTCTGATATTCAACTACTCCGCATTATTATCCTGTCTGGCTGCCATCGGGGGAGTCGCGGATATCCTTGCTTAGCGACCCCAAGTCGAAGGATCCAATTTCATGCGCCTCAATTCCAACCTGGCTGCGTAAGGGGCAGTCACTGCACAGCTACTCCTCGTCCTCATCGTCGTCCTCGTCTTCGCCATCGTCATTCTCATCTTCGTTCTCATCCTTGTTCTCGTCTCCGGATTGAGCCTCCTCCTGCTCGTCATCGTCGTCACCGTCGTCATCTTCCTCCTCAGAGCTGCTTCTAGGGGGCGACATGTACACCGGGCCGCAATTACACTCTCCGCAGATGTCCAAGGAGGTTTCATCGGGAAGAAAGACGAGGGTGTCATCGTCACCGCAGGTCCCGTCACAATCGGGACTATCTCGTCTCAAAGTGACCTCGCAGCCGCAGGAGTAGAAGACCGACCACTGTTCGCAGGACATTTTCCTATTCATCGTATTAGGTCTCTTTGGCTTTGGGTTTCTGGTCTTTGATGATACATGGAAGAAAGGACTTACTCTTCTCTTAGTTTCTTATATTGAAAGGATAGAAGAGCAGGTAGGGCTGTTTGTGCTTGTTTGATTGCTTCTAACATATACAAATTAGCAAGCATTCACCCTAGGTATAGTCAAACAGACAACTCACTGTTTGTGGTTGACAGAGAAGCTGAGGGTTGATGATACCTTGACTGGCCAAAGCAGAGAGCAGGAAAGCAGGAAAGCAGGGGGGCTCCTTCTTTTTATATTAAAAAAAAAGGCTCAAAGTGAGCTGCCTCCTTAGTGGAAGGACATATATAACCGTCCGGAACCCGCTTCTGAAGGACGTTCCTTTAGATGAGCGGGACATGATAAGTTTTCTTGTTGAATGTCTGTCAACTGCGCTACATTGATATCCTGTAGCACAGTATAAAGGAAGACTAGAACCTCACGGAAGGTTATCACTATCAATCATTCATCTGTCTTGCTTGATCGGAATGCCTCTACCAGTGCCTCTGCTTCCTGTGGGTTGATAGCATCCTCTAGCAGTTCATGGGCCATTTCAACAGTCTGGTCAGATATTCCGGCTTCTAGCAGCAATCCTTCACTAAATGCCAAACGGGTCAGGACAACAAGGTGTTTCTGTACCGCCCCTGGTACAGCACGGAGCCGTGAAGGTAGGTCGACCTGGCCTGGGAACAACTTGATAATACCATACACAAAGCGGGTCAGACCGTTGACCAAAGTGGCATGTAAGTCCCGCTCTGGGGGGTTCGAATACATAGCATCAAGCTCGTCATGCATAGACCGAAAGGCGCGGGCTAGAGCACTCGGATGCGAGGCAATCATTTTACCAAGTCGGTTCCGTTCTGGGTTTGGTATGGAGAAGGCAATCTCGTTCAGGAACAGCATCACCTCGACCCGTAGAGTGGTGATTTCCCAAGCCGTGTACGGTTTCTCCCCTTCATCGGAAGACGGTAGTTCGCTAAGCAGGTTAGCTGCCCTGTCAATGATGTACTTTTCATGCTCCAGCTGTTGCGACTCTGAGTCACAGATTGGTCCAAAGGTGTTGGTCAGCTGGCCACAGGCTAGGATCTTCAACGTCAGAATGATATCGTTGAGCTGCTGGTAGGAATTCAACATGATCAGGATAAAGTCGTATCCCACGCAGCGCCAGAACAGCTCTAGTGCCTGCCTGTTCTGCTGACAGCCGCTGACAATCATGTAAAGTATCTCGAGTGCCTCTGTGGAGCTGACGCGGTGGTCCAGCTTTTTCTGAGGCGTCCTCTTGACCTTCCCCAGGTTTTCGTGCGATACTGGGGAACTGGTGAACCGAGGCACGCCATTGATGTATCCGGAGTTCTGGAGCACCGGCACAATAGATTCGATGACGCAGGGAGCCAGCTTATGCAGATCTAGGTGAAGTATGAATTTCACTATTGACATGAACATGCCAATAGGGCTGTGGAAATGCTCTTTCAAAGCGCGTGACCATAACGACGCTATGGCCTTGGTATATTCCACCGCATAGTTGCTGCTGCTTTGTGCGGTAATCGACTGTATGACAATCGACGAGAACTTGCGGTCCGGCTCGGATGGGAAATACATGCTCGAAAACACCTCCATATCAGGAGCATTCCTTGGGTATGTACGGTGATTAAGGATAAGCCGCATATACCGCATGTTACGGTCCTCTCGCTTGGGCTGCTGCTGCTGCTGCTGCTGCTGCTTTTGTTGACTCTCTTCGGGGGTCTCTTCTTTTCCTCCTCCAGGAGTTTCAGCGTTCCCATTATCACCAGCACTGCCCCCGAGAGACTGACTCAGCTGAAGCGCAAGAGGTATTGGGGAATCATCAACCGCGCGTTTTCGCTTGTTTGACGTCATTGGGGTCACCCGCTTGGATCTCCTTCCGGTAGACTTTGAAGGAGACACCATGAGCTCATCGTCATCAAATCCGTCCCTAAGAGGCAGGGACTTGCTCTTCCTTGGGGTTGCAGGGTGCGGCTTATCATCCTTGGGCTTGTTCCGGAAGCTATGCTGCAGTTTAGTAGCGCGGTAGGCCTCTTCTTGCAAGTCATGCTTGAGAAATCCGTTTTCAGCAACCAGCCGCTTGCTCTCCATTAGAGCAGCTTCAATCTCTGCTCGGTATTTCCTAGTTTCCTCTTCCATGGCACTTTTCAGAGCAGAAA